TTCCTATTATGGATAGGAAAATTCGGTCGTGTATACCGAAATAAGGTAAGAATATATACTGTATCCTCTCTTATGTATGAAATTGCCACTTATAATAGTGTGTTAATAGCGATCACAGACTTGAAAATAAGCAGCTTAATGTTCGAGTATCTTATCCAGCTGCCAATAATCCATGTAGTATCACTGAAAAGATCATGCCCGTGTTTGCATTTCAGGCCAGGCACATATTTTCAGACAAGGCGATGAAAATCCGTCGTCTCATCTTGAGATTTCCGTGTCACATATCTCTGCTAACCCTAAATCGAGTGACAAGCTGTCGATTTCTCACACAATTTTCATCCCCTGCATATGCGGAAACATACAGAAATGAGAAGAAGACTGGTCAATTTTTCCAGACCAAAGTACTATAGACTTCTGATCAGTAGTATTTTGCATCACAAATACTCTGAGGCTGTAATATCCACATTCAGCTGCACGAAGATGTCTGTGCAAATTTTTCATGATGCAGAAGACCCAGCCTCCGAGTGTAGTGTTTCTTCATCTCACCCTTTGCTTTGGAGACTTCTATTCTGGTGACAAGCGACTACGCTCTCAACACCAATTCCTGTCCTGCTTTTCAGGAACCCTCCCAGCCTCCTTTCACACAATCAGTAGAGAGCTTTTAGTATAGAGGAGCCCGGAAGCTCAAATTACACGCCTGATATTCCTAGACAGCCGTTTAGACGTTTGTCTTGATGCCAAATGACCCCCCTGGGGACATCGAGCGCTAATGCTCGAGTACCTCTATCCAACCAATAATGTCTGTATTCTCTCTTCAGCTACTCCAATTAATTGTGTATATTATGCGGGATGATGCCCATGACGCATCGTGCTAACGGTCGCGGCCCCTTACGGAGACCCCGAGCGATCGATCTGCCAAGACGTGCAGATTTTACTCCTGTTCCAGACTGCGATACATGCGCATGTGCCTATCTCCTTCAGTCTGCCTCGTCTGTTCTTTTGTCTCCGCTTATATATGTCAAACGGTTCTAAAATCCCCTAGACATACATGCATGCATCGAAAGCAACAGTCTAGCTTCACCTCATCGGTTAATCCTTGCGCTCTCCAATCTCTGATCGTCAACCTAGTGGTTTTCCAGTAAGTCGTTAGATTATGCCACGAGCAATTACACAAGCAAATTAATGGACCCAGGTTTCCTGCCTCTAATAGGAAGGGGATTCTAGCTCACTAGCAGGATTTATTGTCTTGAGTTCCGTTGACGGCAGGTAGAATGTCTGGCCCCAGCCTTTCTTCTTGACTCAGACGTATCCTGTTCCAGCCAGACGGCCGCCCCCGGCCCATCGTTTCTCTATGTACATGAGCGAGACACACATTTGGTACCTCGGGTGGTAATTCACTACTCGATATGGGCAGTGAGTGATCTACAACAGGGTTACCCACAGATCGGAATAAGCGCAGCCACCTGTTGGTCCGAATTGAAGCTCGTTGTCTTGAATCCGTTCAACACTCACGTACCCCGGAGCTTTCTATCCCCGTGTCACAAACCTGAGATCCTCGTTTTCGGGGTCGTACCAAAGCCGTTGGCCAATGCCCCAGTTTCACTCTGAAAGCTTCATGATCAGACCCTTCTGCTCAACATTATGCATGGGAAGGGGGACTTACCACTCAGAAGGACTCAGCTGAGTGACATAAGAAGTGAGACATCAAATTGAAAGGTGGTTATGCATGTGCCATTTTGTATAATGACTGGAACGATAATGAGTATTACACGATACATATACATATATGTGTGAACAATATTTAGTGTGTTATGTCTTTAGCATTTATCATAAACCCTCAATACTCTGATAAGGCTGTTCGTAGCCTCAACAACACGTAGTGTAATGCTCATATGTCTTAGATTCAATGCCACCCACTTGGACCCTTCCTTGCCTTCAGTTCAAAAGCAGCTCGGAAGAACAAATGTTGTGCATCTATCGGTGGAGTTTGTTTCTGAAATTCTAGACAGCTGGCGTGATACAGCGTCACTGTTCATCCCGTCCTGAGACTGGCAGATTGAAGCCCCCACTCGGGAATCACAGCCTTGAAGCGCCTGCTTCACCATCAATTTCGCCGAACAAGTTCATGAACGCACCGTGAACCTCGTCCGTCAGGTCACTTGCCTGTAGACTCCGACCTCGTTTGGAAAAGGCGAGGCGGGAGCTCTCCTGGAAGCCCGGTTAGTCAAATATCAAATGTACTGGTCGGCCGCTCCATTCGTTCTTTGTGAAACTCACTCTAGTAACGGCACTCCCTCCAAACGCAGCCAACTGAATCATCTCGCTCTCTCCAAGTTTCTCACTCCCTGTGTCCCAAAGCTCGTCGAGATATGCCTTCCTCCAGGCCAGGAACGTGGCGACGGATCCCGTCAGGGTGTCGCCCTGCCCACCACTTCTCTTCTTGCCGCCCTCCATGTCGTTTTTGATTGTGTTCTTCCCATCCGAAATGAAATCGCTTGCTCCCTTTTCTATGACGGTCACCCCTTGCAGTGCCTTTGCGAGAGCCTCTACCTTGGCCGTCTCACCTTCCTGGCCGGTCACGTCGACCCCCAAGGCATCACACAGGCGCTTAAACTCGACCACGTTGGGTGTAAGTATGGCCTGTGTGTAGCCACTGACTAGACCGGGATCTTTTTGAACAACCAGGAGAGCGTCTGCGTCAAGGACAAGTGGCAGGTTCTTGGTCCTGGCAGCTTGGATTACCAGGGCCACAGTGTCCTGCATCAGCGGATCTCGGCCCAGCCCTGGCCCGATGACGAGGACATGGAGCCTGGGCATTATGTCGATGATACGGGAAGCCACATGTTTGGGGTCCGTCTCTGAGTCCTTGGGTCCTTCTGACGATGAGGCTGTGGGGGGAGGCTGGCGCATGAGCGGATGGACCATTAGATTGGGCGAGTAGGTCTTAATGACCGCAGCGGCACCCGGAGTACAGATGACATGAGACTTGGTACACTTAGTTCAGAGCCGCCATCTTCACAACCACAATCATTAGGTTTTTATTCATCTTAAGGTAAAGACTTACCATATCGCAGCCAAGCCTGGCACTGGCCATGGCGGAGAAGTAGGGCGCACCGGTGTAGTCTTCACTCCCCCCTAGAACCGCCACACGTCCAAGCTGGCCTATTCATCGTAAGAATATGTATAAATGTGATAGACAATACTCTAGGAAAAGTCGCATACCTTTATGGAACTTTTCGAGCATTGGCGGAATCATCCGCTGGACCTTGCCGAGGATCGCCTTGGTTGCGTTGGACATGTCGGGGGCGGACGCCTCAGCGGGCATAATGGTTGAAAATAGGAAATTTGGTCGAATAGATAGATGTATGGATATACAATATAGAGAGTATGCATCAAATGCGCGGATGGCGATTAGGTTTGGTGGGGAGATGTTGGAAGCAGAGAAGAGTGATTGATGCTCATGGTTACCTGCTTCAGCGCTCTCCACTTGTCGGCCTCGGGGGCCATAAAATGTCATCATGACCGTTACGACTTCATCTTTCTATGAAGATTTCAACAACACATTGGGTAGTAGTCGCACAGCATTTCAAATTACTTGCCGTCTCTAAACACTGCAGCTTGTATTGGTGAGTGAAGCAAAAGAATATTCATAACACCGAGGGATGCGCTATCAAATGCAGCTTACATTTAGGTATAGTCTTACTTCGGTCCCATTAGAACAAATACCAATCGAACCCAGGCCCTATAGTGACTAGAATAGCATCTAAAAGAATCGAACTCGAAATGGAGGCTCGCCCCCTCCCTAAGATGTATCTAAGGGATAGGGTTTCCTTCTCGAGTAATGCCGGCATTGGTTTCGCGGGAATTAACAGATACCTTAAAAGAAATATCGAGAATCATTTGGCCATAGCGTGATGGCTTCCGACGGATTGAATAGGAACAGTTGAAGATCCGAGATGCCTCTGCCATTGCTACTCTAAACTTATCCCCGCCTAGGCAATATTTCGCGACAGGCTGACCGGAAGTCATCTATCAAAGTGGAACAAGCGTCTTAGTAGCATCAAGGACGCGACCGCTGAATACAGGGCATGAGTTGCCAACTAAGTCGAGTCCTATAATGATCCGGTTCGCATTCATCTAGTCATGATCGACATTTCGTATATCAATGATGAAATCAAGGATACTGCGTGCTGGAAGCATGCGGAATCAGTTTTGGCGAGGCAATTGATATTCTTGAGGGTTTGGTCAGACTTTTCACCACCAACCGAGATCTGCCTGATTCCAAGAGGTTGACGAGACTATTGCCAGCAATGAGGCAAGCACAGAGCCAGTACAAATGAAATTCTTGAGGCATCAGACAAGAGGTGAATGAATATAGGTTGGAAAGAGGTGAAGATAGAAATGATGCTGGGGTAAACTTGAAATAGAGTCGCGTTGAAACGTTGCGTTTGCGAAGATTAGCTTTTATTGTATTGTTATGCGGTTGAAATTCTCCTTTGTTCATTTTTTTATCTGTAATTAGGTCGCTTTCACTCTCTCTTTGTATATAGTCTATTAGGGGAGGAGTGATCTTAGAGTAGAGACAGAGACTGAGTAGATAGCTTTCGCCTTGGGCATTCTTAGAAACTTATTTTTATCACTAAAATTAAAGCTATTATAAAAATCAAAAGGCAGCCCCGGTTAAGACAAACTCCTGCTGTTCACTTGCACAGCACAATTATAAGTGCAGGAAGGTGCCTGCCACCAAAACGGCAGGCACCCCCAAGCCCCAACCCAACCCCAACTCCCAGTATAAAAGCACATCTCCTCCTCATACTTCTATTCCAATTTTCTCAGCTTTCTACACCTACCTGCCTACCTACTACCCAACAGCAAGCAGCAAGTTTCCCGATCTACAGCAATAAAACAGTGCGTCCTCTACATCACACCTGCGAGGCGTTCTCATAACAAAGCGTCGAAAATTTATATACCACTTGTGGTAGATCCACCGCTGGTCCAGGATGAACGAAACCGTAGAGTCTTATGACGGAGAGATCAAGGGTGGCAATCCAGAGGATTTCGCTACAGAGAGCTTTGTTTTAGACAACCATGACCTAATACTCGAAATGTTCGAACCGAAGGACAACACATTTGAGAAGGGAGACTCTCGACAGGCACTGAGCCTGCCGTCAGATCAGAACCAAATGCTAATTTGGGCTATAACTGATGCCAATCGCCGTATCGCTGAGCTTGAGGCTCGGCATAAAAATGACATTGGTCAACTGAAAACCGAGTTTATGGATGAGATTGCCCGGCTCAAAAAGGACCATGCTGTTGAAATCGCTGAGCTGAAAAGAAATACAGTCAATAAGACTGCTGCCAGACCTGGAGGAATTAAAGCTAATGAGCTTGCTACTATCAAGAGTGATATATCGAAGCTCAAGAGCGAGACAGCTGAAATTACTACAGTAAAGGGCGAGATTGCAGAATTCAAAGATAAACTGCCAGATCTATCCCTTTACTGTCTGGAATCAGACCTTACACAATTCGAAGACGAACTCATATTGAAACTGAGGGAAAGGTTTGCAGGCGTGGATGAGAGACTTGGTAAAGTAGACAAGGTTCTACTAGCCAAGGAGAGTACTACAGAAAATCTGAAGAAGCTAGCGGCAAGCACAGTTCAAGCTGCCATAAAAGAGGCCAGTTTCACAGAACATATCAAGAAGGTAGCAGAATCTAAGGTTCAAGCTATGGTCAAGGAGGCTAGAGCGACCAAATCGACGGCAGAAAACAAGCGAAAGAGAGAGGCCTCAGTTGACTCCAGACGCCCAAAGTTGACTCCAGGCGCCCAAAATTGACTCCAAAGCCGACTCCAAACCCATCTGATACAGAGAAGAACCAGAGAAAACATCGCGAACTAGATTTTTGAGACGATCAAGCCTCGGATTTGCATAGAAAATGTCAGGGATGAAATTACCTTGCACGTACGGGAATCATTGGGCATGTAATTGCACTGGAATTATTGGGAACTGGTTGCGAGCAAATCAACGGGACGTGGTTATTCAAATGGGGAAATGGTTATACAAGATCATCTTTCTTATATGCGTTTGCATTTTTGAGGTACTGGGCCCTTCTTCTGGCGAGCTCCGGGCTTGTGCCTTCTGTGAACTCTGGGTAGAAGGGTTTGGTATTGGCAAGATTGCTTACAGCTCTCCTTCTTTTTTTTATTAAAGCAAATAGGTTGCATTTGCCGTTTGAAAGCCTGATGATCTTATGGGTGAAATCTGATGTAAGGGTAATCTTGCCAGTCTCATGTCTCTTAATCAAACTCTGCGGTCGATCGGATTGATGCGGCATCCTAGTCTGTGATTCGGGGTCATCCGCGAGCCTTTCTCCCATGAGCAGAATTGCTTGTTTCCTGGATATGTTGGTCACATCACATCCATGAGCGCTAAACTTGGCTCCCGCGCTGGTCTCGTCAGGTGTGATTTGAAATTGCTTTGTTTACTCTGTCTGCGGATGTTTGTCTGATCCTGATGGCTTTGGCTTGCTTGAGCGTTGCTGGGCAAAATAATCAAACAGTGTAGAATAATCAAACAGTGCAGAATATCAAACAGTGTAGAATAATCGAACAGTGTAGAATAATAAAAAAGGACAATAAGCAAACAGCACAACAATAGCACAACACAACAGTACAACAATAACAAAACACAATAATCCTGGGCCTAGTATAAATTCTTCTCTTCCCACCTTTCATCTCTCTCTCTCTCTCTCTCTCTCTTTTATTCTTCACAGCACCAAGTCGATAAGTGCCCATCATGTCAAGCGATTACCTTGTTTGATGGTGGCTGCAACCACATGACGTAAGTCTTATACTGAGGACTGACGACTTGAGCTATTACTAACTTTTGAGAAGTTGTAGCGTGGATGTTTGCGGCCATGAGTGGTGTCGTCTCTGCGGAGAAGGTAGTTCGCCATAGTATGCAAATCGCCACTACCTGGAAGACGGATGCCCCCATGCTGGAGGTCGGACTTGTCACGAAACATGAAACGCAAACGCGCCAAGGCCAGAAGAGCTCCGTGGTGACATTATTCCAGCTGATGTGCTGGCTGCTCTCAATGGCCCTACCCCTGTGGCTGATACTCCAACGGCCAATACTCCGGCAGTTGATACTCCGGCGGCCAATACTCCGTGCAGACACTATTTCGCCGAGCAACGGGGGACTCGAGAACAGAGGACGTGCCAATTTTGCCAGGAGGTGATGAGAGCACACGTGTTTGTCTGCACTCTTGGCTGTGGTGTTCAGGTCTGTCGGAGTTTGGCGAAGACTCATTCGTTGAATCAAGTCGAGATTCGCGGGTCGAGGAGTTGCCAGCCCGGTACCGCCAGCACTCGGCTGCCCACCATCAGAACAACGCTTACCGCGGCGATAACCAGCATCATGGCAGCACCTACCGCAGTCCTGCAGAGTACAGAGGGGTTGGGTATCCTTCCGTTAAATTGATGCTTGGCGAATTTGATTTCAGATTCCCAACGGGCAGCTGTGGCGACGTCCCCGTCTTCTGTCTTTATACGCTTATATTGGCTGGCTCTGGCGGTTCTATTCACAACCTGGTCGATTTCTGTGGTCCACTCGTCGGAATCAAGGTCAGAGCTTTCGGAGGGCTCTTTTGATGATTTAAGAAGACGACAAGCTTTCATCAAGTCCAACTTCACAGCCATCTCTTTCCAGCCTCTCACCTGACCTCCCGCATCTCGCCCAACTTTGTGATGGATATTGCTTTGCCAAGATACCGTAACGTTATCCACGCGGACTAGAATTTCTTTGATTGCGGTCAGACTTGGGGTGATATGGCGTACACAGCAAAGGCACAGAACCGATTGATCACCAGGTGTAGTCGCTGTTGAGAACTACACTTACTACCCAACACAAGAGTCCCCATCTAAAATTTAAGCCTTCACCGTGGACAGCTTCGAAAAATTCTTACAAAGTGCAGATACTGCACACAAGAAATGTGTTAATGAATTATACAATAAACTCGACAAGAAGCAGGATAATCCTGAGAGTATACTGTCGCAGTTCTGGAAGTTCAATCCTCCAGAACATGGCTATATTCCAAATACTCCACTAACAGCGTCTCAATTTCTTGAAAAGGTCCGCGCCTTCACAGATATAAAGAACTCACAAGAAAAGGCAGTAGATGGTATTTATCATGTGGATGATGCATCAAGCACTGAGTTCGCAGGCCTTGATGATAGTCTACGGACCCTTGTTAACTATACGTATGAACCTGAGCTCGGCCATCGTCGGCATTGCGTGAATCATCATTACGCGTTCTTCCGGTTCGATGTCCTCGGTAATTGGACATCGGCGTTTCGAGTCTAGATGGCCGAATAGCGCAGCCCGGGTCTTGAAAGCAGTCTGGCAATGTCGGCAACGTTTATTGTCATCGAGTAGCACATCCGGCGAACAGTCTCCCGGCTCCCTAAGGTGTCGTTGTAGCTCGTTTGACGAATCGAAAACGTTGCGACACAAGCGATACTCGTGTCTGGGGGCACAGTAGAATGTTTCCCCGCCGTCTGCTAAAAACGCAGACTCGTCTCCCTGCAGGATGTCCGGATCCTCGGGTGACAATTCGACGGAGTCCTGTAGGACTATGTATATATATATATATATCTACTTATCGGCAGTCATTCCCAAGGACCGCAAAGTCGTTCATGCGGACCAAGGATTTTTCAAGACTGGCCATACATGGGGACAGGTCGCCCTTAGAGCAACAGAACAGAACAAGATGATGATACCTATCATCCTGCATTTTGGCGGTGACCCGGTGGCGGAATGGTCAGATCCGTCGGAATGGTCAGCTTGTTCTTCAGCATCATGTCGGAAGCGGATGGCTTTGTTTAGGTCGTCGATCTCGGCCTGCATCGCTTCGATTGTTTGCTCCTTTGTGACCTTCGAGAGAGAATCCGTCGAATGAGACCCTCTCTGCTCATACACAGCCTTTATAGAACGCCCTGGGGAGAGAGACGCATCAATTGAGTCGAGACGTCCAAGCTCGACTCTAAGTTCACCAGTTGAAGAGGAAAGCAGTGATTTTTATTAGCTCATTCTATCTGTATCCTATCCGTATCAAGCCTCGCTGTGGTGTAGCAAATATAGTCTCTCCGCCCAGGGACCTCTTTTTTTAATGAACACAATAAAAAGAGAATAATAAGATATTCTACGATATTTAGCTTGATATTGTATTCATTACTCGGTTGGTTGTTTTGATATTGTGTTGAAATTCAGCGCTGAAGTGTCTAGATGTGCCATGTTTTATCTCAGCCGCGTGCCGGCGTCCAGAATGGTGTAGCAAGAATAAGATGAGACGCGCCATGCATGTTGACGCCTACTCCGCCAACTCCAGCAGTGACAAGTAGCACTCTGGTGCCCGTGCTGTCGTTGAAGTTCCTGATGATCCTTGTCCTGTCTTGAACGCCCTGTGTTCCATTAGCCTCATTGACAGAGAAGTTGAAGAGGGCGTTTGTGGAGGCCGTACGGGCCAAGGCCTCGGCGACGACATCGAGGAGTAGGAGAGAAGCCGACATGATGACTATCCCCTCTCCGGGATAGTTGGTTGCGATCCCTCTCACAGTCTCCACGATTGTCGTAACTCGAGGAGAGAAGACGTCCTGGGAATTAGCATGACGCAGGTTGCCTTTCCACTCCGCAGTGAATGATGGATTGGAGCGTGTTTTTTGTTTCTGGGGCGAGGAAGATGATGGTACCGGCGAGGCGACGTCGCCGTCCCCGAGGTAAATAGTAAGTGAGAGAGCTATACAGTTATGCGGCAGCTGCTGGGAAAAAAGGGGGAAATTTCCAAACACTAAGAATTCAACAACTTGACACCATTCCCAGCATCACAACGCATTAATTTCCCGAGGTCAATAACTTCTAGCATCAAGCTAACGTCTCCGTGGACTGGGTCATAGTCGCGTACTGAAATCCCTTTTGAGTGTCGCCGTGCGACTGCACCAGGTTGTTATCGTTTTGAAACCCTACAAGGTCGGCCACATTGCCGCCAGCATCGCAAAATGCACGGAATTCGATGTACTGAGCCTCCGTAATACCGTCCATGGAAGTACCCTGGGGCATTCCCTTGGCTGTCAGGTAGCGTTAAAACCTTATAGTTTGCAGCCGGCACTTCTGCTCGCAACCCCTTTGAGCATTTAGGGGCGTGGACGATTAGGGGGACACGCCGAATGTTGTTGCGCTCTCGTTAGCTTCTGAAAAGCCCGAGTTTTCAGCCACAGAGTGTCTCTCGAGTCCCCCAGCTTGGCCGCCCGTGATAGCAGTTTTTTTGCTTCAAACGACGAGACCGCGGATGGTCTCCAGTTGTGACCAGCAACCGATGAAATTGACCTGCACCTCGTGCCGCACCATTGGCGGCAGGTTAAGGGTGCTTTTGGGCCTTGCGATTATAGTAGCTGAAAGGAGGATCTTCATAAACTGGTTGACGGGCGAGCTTGGGTCGTCCACGGCTTTCTGAGGGGTATTGTAGAATCCCCCTTTGATGTTCCGGAAAGCTTGGCCGCCAGATAACAACACCATCTGGTCATACACGTCCTTCCACGTGTTGTGGAGAGGGGTGCCAGACAAGAGCGCAGCATGCCGATATGGCAGCGATCAGATGCTCTGATTGATGAGGGAATCGACTCTTTTGGCGTGTTGTGATCCGTCAACAATGATCACCGGGAACTTCTTCTTAGCTCTCTCATACCATGCCGAATGGAGAGGTAGGTTTTGCTTGTTGTACCGCGAGATATTTTTGAGGTATCAAGTCCTTCATGTAGAACCATGCCTTATAGTTTGTCGAGTCGGTGAACCTTTGTCTCACGTAACCATGTGTTGTGATGACAATATCCATCTTGACTATTTCTTCAGGCCGAGTTTCCTTCTTATGAAGGATCATGCACCGAGGTCGCGTTCCCCATATTCGCAGTTAGAATAGTACGTCTTTTCCAGGAAAACCGCAAGTCTCACCTTGTTGAAATGTATTTGGACTTCAGAAGACCATTGATCAATACAACTTGTCGGGCATATGATTAAGACTGGCCCACAGTCTGGTAGTAACTGCTCTCGGCGGAGGAGGGCAGCGATTAAGGATGTAAGCGACTTCCCCATTCCCATTGAGTCGCATACCAGGCCACCTTGGAACTGGGAAAGGAACATTTCCAGCGGCCTAAGCTTACCCACATACTTTAGGTTTTGTCTCAGCTTACCCACGTACTTTGGGTTTTATAAAGAAGAAGGAAAGAAAATTCAGTTCAAACGGTCGTGGGGAGAAATTTATACCCGGATCGCACGATGTGTTATTGTCCTGTTATTGTGTTATGCTGTTGCCTATTGTAATGTTCTCATATTGTCCCGTTATTGTGTTATGTTATTGTGCGATTGCTATTGTCTCATTGTTTTTCGAGGGTGCTAGCATGTTCACCCAAGGAGAATATTTGTAGATTTGGCCTATCTAAGCAGCCAACAATATGCTAGGTACCTATTGAATCATTGCATTTTAAAATAGTTATGAGCCTAGTCACAGGCACCCTTTGGGGCGATGGCTGGCCCTACCTTTGGTACATTGCGCATCCGCATCCTTTCTCCTCCTTCACCATCAAATTCTGCGCCTACTGACACATAATCACAACTCGCAACAATGTCTGATGAGGAGCCACTTTGGGAGAAGTTTGGTTTCGAATCTCTGGAAGAATTAGTCCGATTCCATCAATATGAGATGGCTAGGCGAAGGGCCGCAAGGCCCCTGCCGATGGATGAGGAGGCGGAGAATCAGGCGGAGCACCTGTCCGAGAAGGCCGAGAAAGCTGCCGAGCCCAAGAAGGCTGACAAGATCAAAGTACGTTATTTGGATGGCCCCCTAGATAGTACATGGCTAATGTTTAAACTAAGTCATTCAGGACCTCGATAGCAAGAAGAGTGCTGAGTCTGGAAACAACGAGGAGACACCCAAAGGACTGGATGCGGGTGACAACGCCACTTCGACGACAAACAAATAATAAGGCAACCCATAAAAAGAGCAATCATCTAAAACAATCACATTGGGGTGGATGATATCCAATCGGTACTATTGAAGCACATGCCAGCCCATGAAGTTGGTCAGTTTGGGTGCGTTGAAAAGCTACAAGGCTGAGCTGGTAAATTAGGCAGTTAATCGATACAATGAATCACACTGCAGCCCCGTGCATCATCTATGGACAATACTCAGTGAAGTATCGAGTCCTTGGGGTTGAAGAACGCGTAGATAATTTCTAGGCCCTGCTGAATTTAATCAAGGGCCTCCTGGGTCTGACCCCCTTGACGGTTGATGGTGCGGAGTTGCTGTATCATGATATCACGCAGGGTGGCGTACACATATCTTGCCTCTTGAACCCCATGTTACTTGGGAGACTCTGACTTGGTACTCTCTTCCTCCTAGGGCCTCTCTATTTTGCCCTTCTGACCACTTCAGCTGACTCTTCTGTCCTTCTTCATGTTAAGCGATAGCTGTAAAGCTGACCATCGTGTCTCCCGTGATGACGAGCGATCGTTATATAGCCGGCCTAGCTGTCTGCTGGAAAAGACAAGGATCCGTTCGGCCTCCCTCAGAGGAGGATATTCAAGCCATGACACTAGGGAGAAACCCAACGAGACATGTTGACAATTTTTTATTGACTGTCTACGTCTAGGTCGACCTCCGGGCCAGGATTTCCCCAACCACCTTGGCCGTCGCGTTTACGATTAGTGGATGCTCGCGGGCATGCATCTTCTCCTTGAACTGATCCAGCTCCTCTCCCTCCCACTTGATCTCCTCGGTCAGGATGGGAGTGCCCTTGTCTACTTCGTGGATCACATAGTGGGCCATGATACCTGTGCGCGTCAGTTTCCCGGCCTTGAACTCGTCAAAGGCTCGCTCAATGGCATTGGCGCCGTCAAACTCATCTGGCTGGCTGTTAGCATATCACCTTGTTTAGTTTGCTCTGGGAACCTACTTGGCAACGCTCTGTAGTAGATGTGTTAGCATTTCTCTCTCTCCAATAACGCTGATGAAGTAGTGATTACATACGGATGTAAATTGATGATGAGGATGCCAGCCTTTTGGAGAGGCTCCAGGAAAGCCTCGGAGAAGATGTGCATCCAGCCGGCGAGAACAATCAGCTCGGGCTGCTTAGATACCACCTTCTCGGCCAGCGCAGCATCGTAATTTTGACGAGCTTCAGCGACTTTCTGCTCATCCTTCTCCCCCTTGGGTAGAAATCCATGGCTGATTAGATTGTAGTATTCCGAAGGGATGCCTTGTCAAGTTAGGAAAACAAGTTTCATTGACGAACAAGACAAGCTGCCGAGTAGACTCTCACCCGCTTTCTCAGCTCGCACAACTGCGTGTGCCTTGCTCCGGTTCACGAAAAGAGAGATGATTTTGCTGTTGGGGATATCCCCCGACGCAACGGCGTCTATGAGGGCCTGGAAGTTTGAGCCAAAGCCCGAGGCCATGACCAGGATGCGGCATGGGGAGTCCTTGGCGGCCATTTTGTGAGGTTCGATGATGATATGGCTGGGAAATAAAATATCGTAATAGGGTATGTATGTGTGAGCGTGTGATATTCAACAGCAATGAGGTGAGATACAGTGCTGCCTCTTTTGCTATTACTTTTGCGACGCCGAAATGCGGACCTTGAAAATAATTCTGCGCAGCCAATTATGTCGCAGCCGGGTAAACCATTCATACGGTGGACTCTAAATACACGCTGACAGGTGCAAAACTCAATTGATTTTAGGTTTCTTTTTGCTCTCGAAAAACACAAATATTACAATAAAACCTGAATTCTTTGATTCGGTAGTCGGTTTTTCTTTTTTTTCTACCTATCTCGGAGAAATAATCTATACAGGCTTGAAGAAGCGATTTTCGGGGAAAGATTTTCTCATCATACAGCTTGAAGAAGCAGAATTTGAGAGCGGGGAACCTTGTCCATCTTGTTTCCCTGCCCACCAGAGAACACGATCATCTACGTCTACACACATGAAGTAATGGGCATTCATAGAATGTGCAGCATTAGTGTATTGGTAGTTGATTTGATTTGCACTCAGGAAATTGCATGTCATTGGAGTAGTATTTTGTCACTGTACCATCCAACAGAGTCTATCACCTTGGCATGTATACATTATTTTATCGTGAACACTAGAAATATTTTTATACACAGAATATTCCCATTGAACCTGTTATTCTAATCGTGAGCAACTCCTATAGGAGAGAGGAGCAGGTATCTGACCATTTCGATAGTAGTTATACACCAAACACCCATAAATTTCACACCAAATAACCATAATTTGGATACCATCATCACAAACTCCTGAATACAACAGTACCACGCTAACATAAGACGAAGATAACACATAGAAGGATAATAATGCGAGTCTTGAGGAATGTCTGTGGAACACAAGGGTGGATGTTCCCTGAAGTAACGTTGAAAATGTTTCAAGACTTCAAAAGGGAAACATACCTCCTCCCGCATCCTGAAACCCTTGGAAAAGGTCGCTAATCCAGGGCTCTTGAAGATCCTCGGACGACAGCTGGAACTCGGGGGTCAATCCCAGATTAGTAAAGTCCAGCCCCGTGCCATCAGCGAGACCCATATCGATGTTCGCCGGGAGGTTCGACATCCAGGAAGGTTCAGACGAGGCAGCGAAGAATGGCGGTTGCTGTTGAGGTTGAGACGTTTGCTGGGGGCCTGTCGTGGGATTGATGGCGGGTGAGCTCTCAGAGGCTGAGGAGGAAGGCGTGTTTGCATTGTTATTGTTATTGCTGCCCTCGTAGAAGAATGGCTGAGGTTGATTGCGGAAGCTACCGAGGAGAAAACGCGCCGATCCGCTGGGTTTGTTGGCTCCAGTACCCGTGGCCACTTCGGAGAGGAGCTGGAGGGGCGTGTTCACTCGAGGTGGTTCTTGCTGCTGCTGCTGCGGGTTCTGTCTATGGAAGGGTAACAGCTGTTTGTTGCCAGATGAGCCATCGCCTTCTGCCCAGCCACTAGTTATGGGCGACTTGGTAGGACCAGCACCGTCACCGCCCTGAGGGTTGTTCTTTGCCTCGAGCTTGCCCTGTTTGATGAACCAACTCTTCAACATAGCGAGCACTACGAGGAACTTGGAGGCGGGTCGACTTCGATCGTCAGCGGCGGTGGCACGGAACTTATCGATGAGAAGATCCATATAGTAGCCAACCCGAAGATTCTCTTTGTTGACCACCTTCCCGAGGTCCGAGGTTGGATTAGATGAGGTGAAGTACATCTTGAGAAGAATAACGAGGGCGTAGGCAACGCGAACGAAATTATAGACGGGGAGGCAACGGACGCTCGCCACGTCCAGTGAAAGAAACGTAGTGAAGATGCCGTTGATTGCGCTAAGACATGAAGAAATAGCATTGATGTGGGCGGCGGAGAGAGGCTCGGGCCCGATAACACCTTCCTTGAATGCATCAGTGTTGAAGGGTGGTCGTATCTGGTCGACGGCCGTTTTACTATGAAGCACAATCTCGTGCATGTAAAGGTTGATCATCTCAAATCCAAGGGTTAGTGCAGCTAGGAAGACAAAGAGAGTCAGTCAGGGGTCCAAGGAACCCGCAGGAAAAATATGAACCAGTTACTTACGCCTCATGATATCCTCGGGGACTGAATTTCGCTTGTTTTCCAGCTCCCTCTCGAGAGCCCGCAGGGTGTGCTGCGTTCTCGCCTCGTTGATGTTCACCCGCGCAGTCGCGTCCTCCAAGGCGAACTGATTGCTCACCTCCTCACCCAGCTTGTGCGTCCACACAAGTTGACAGAAATACTTATCCGACGGAGCGGCGTCAGGGGATGACTCCAGTACTTCAAGCGACTCGGCCATGAAGGGTGTCCAGCGGATAAGATTGGGGCGACGCAGCGAGATGGACGTATTGGAGCACATGAAGAAACATGCGAGCCACGTCCGCCTGGATTCAACAGTCGTTGGGTCAGGTAGAGCTTGGCGCCGCATGGGATGGCTCTGCCAGTTGTAGAGGCCCGTACCAGGCTGCTTGTTGCCGAAGCTCTTACCCAGGCCGATGTCGATGGCCATGACGGCCGCGCTGTGGACCAGCTGATAGAACTTAAGCTCTTCAAAGTGCTCTGGTGGCCAGTACCAAATGACGGCCACAAGTAGAGCTTGGACAATTTCAATGCTCTTGTCGCCGCTCAGAAACACCTTGTCCGCAAACACCAACATGACCTCCCTCGACAGGACCTTTTGCAAATCGTTGTCCTCGGACGCAGCAGCCGCCATGGTGGAGAGGAAAAGGACAGGCTTGTTCTTCCGAAGATCAGACACAGTCATGTTTGGAGGGTGTACGACAGCAGGGAGGTTCGGCGCCATGCGATCGCGATATCGCGCAAACAGCTCGGTCGCTTTCGCCATCGTGAGGATGCCGCGGTCGACAACGTCACTATCCGGCACCGGCGTGAACGCACTACTGGCGGCAGTCACAGGAGATTGCCTGTGCTCGTCGTCCGCGTTCGCGCTCCATCTTGCGGGCAGCTTTCGCTTCTGGCCGGCTATGACCATGGGCGGCTGGAATGCCGGGGGTGTCGGATCGACTCGTGCTTGTGGAGGGGCCGCCACCGCTGACGGCGGTGTCACGGATGGGCCATTTGATCTGTCCAGACTCCCGTGTCTCACGGTCGCCGTCTCGCTTCCCCAGGACCTCTCGTGACTTCCCATGCCCCCGCTAACAACCCCCTCCGTCGAAGGAGCCCTGTAGTATGAGCTCCCATGGCTCCCTGGCGTCGTGTGCTCGTTCGGCCCGCCGCCTGGGCTAACGCTGCTCGTCCCAAGCACATGTGGTGATGAGGAGACACCCAGCGCAGGAAGGACGGGGATGCCGCCGGCGCGGGCCTGCAGGCTCGCCGTCAAGGCATCAATCTTCCTCTCCAGCTCGGAGACGCGGCTGTCCGTCTTCTTCTGCCTCTTGCGCGTCGGCTGCGTGACCACGCACTTTCGCGACGCCTTCTTGCAGCGCTTGCATGGCCCGCCGTCCGGATCCGGATCGCACCGCACCTTCAGCCCACGACAGGCCTCGCATGCTCTCGAGCGTTTCGGGTCGGCGCCTCCGTCCTGGTCGTCGCCGCTGTGGTGGTCGTCGTCGCCTCTCTGCAGGTCCTGGTCTCTGGGTGCGCCAAGATTAGTGGACGGCGTGTCGGCGTCTGCAAAGCCCGTGGTGCGTCCAGCGATCGAGGATGATTCGGGCACGGCGGCAACGGGAACGAGGTCGCTTGCTTCGAGTCGCGGATCGAGCTCCATCTTCTTTGACGTCAAGTGCAACACTCACGAGTTAGTATTCAGCACCGCGCTGGTTCCTTCCCAACATGAGAATCGCAACCGCTCGTCAATTGACCAAGTCGTACTGGTACGTTGCTGCGCAAAGCTCGGAGTTGATTGTCGCCGATTGCCGGGTTATCGGATGACTAAGCCCCGACGACCTCACACCGTGACCTCCTCTCATGTCTACATCTTCTTTTACAAACAAAAGGACATTAAGACGCTGTGATGAACGGTCCAATCAGGCTTCATTTCCAGCATATGTATCAATAGGTAGCTGACCACCTGAATACGTGGCAGCTTCTCGTTCTTTATTTATATGTACAGACTTCGCACCTTCTCCTATCGTCTTCACCTGGGGAGCCAGGCTGATATGGCAGCCCGAACTGCCAGTAAAACGCCACAATTAAGTATACACTCAACCTCTTCCAGACACGCATTTCGCGGTCTTCTGCCCAATATAGAAAAAAATATCGAAAATAGAAAGAATGAGCAAGAAAACGAGTAAGGATTAGGGCAAGAAAAATACACAAAATGGAAATGAAAAAGAATTGCCAAATCATCCGATATAGACATTACGGCTTCGTCGTTATTCCTTAGACGTTATCGATCAGAGGGGACAAGGAATATGTATGCTTGAGGGATATGAAAGGGACCTCATATGGCCCACGACGCTTATTCCAGTCCCGTCGTCCCTGTTCATTAATAGAGAAAAAGATATGCATGTCACAATCCTTCTTCAGTCATCAATCCTCATAGGGCATTGACCTCAAGGGCAATAACAAAACAGGAAGGAAATGGTATCATGATGATGTTGTTGCTGAAACAAAAATTAGGGAAGTGGAAACAAAGACAATAGATACTGGACAAGAAAATCAGTGCAGTGTGCCTTCAGTGACGATTGCGTCGTCTCATTCTAGAACCGCGTCTCTTCCCGGAGACGACTTTTTGAATTTTGAGGTTGTAGCCCGAGCATGTTTCCCATAAACATGACGCTCTCGCGGCGCCTACTGTTTGCAGACGAATCTTGTACAGTCAATCCGCCGGGGCTTGGTTCTTCAACTGGTGACTGTTGAGAGGCTGCACCTCGGTTGGACGAATACAGGTTGTAGGCCTCGGACACGGTTGGTGAGCCGGATGCACTCTCAGTTCCAGGCCTCTGACCTAAGCTCTGAGTCGTAGAGCGTGGAGAATCATGACCTTGACGTCCCAATGGTGGAGTAGGAGTTCCCCTGTGTGAAATGAGCGGCGGGGTTGGAGTTGATCGATTGTTGTGGTAATACGACATGGAATCTAAGCGCGGTTGGCGGTGTGGCGAAGGACTGCCGGATGAGGTCGAGGGTCGAGGAGGTGGCGGATCGAATTGGATGGGTGAGTCGACGGGTCTATTCGACTCGCGATCTGCATTGGCCGATGGGAGCTCATACTCTTCAGGAGCAATACCGAATATGGGCTCATAGTTCTGCAAAAACATGGCAAATACTTGCGCCGGGATGTTCAACGTTGGTGAAAAGACAATACCCACGTTGCGCACAGGCATCTTGTTCATATCTGAATTATTGATGATCTTGATCAGGAAAGCAATCAAGTACTTGAGCAGGGTGGCGTTCGCAAGCGGTAACCTCTGCACTAGTTCGCTAAGAGCCGCAACTTTGTCTAAGCGGCTGACAAGCTCCGTTGTCCCCAGGAACTCGAGGTGCAACTCTCTCGTTAGTATTGTCGACGGTAACTCCCGCAGATAGAGCTTGAGCAGTGAGGCGACTGCATGGATGTCGTAGAACTGGTCGTCGGTTACCAGATTCACATCACCCTCCACATTAAATCTCTCGCGAAGCCCTTTGATTACGATGCTGGAACCGCTCAGGCGGAAGATACCCTCTTCAAGAATAGCGTCCTTGTGCTCTAGGAACTGAATGCATCTGTAGACAACTGACGGGAGAGGCACGTCCACATCGTGCGGTGGAGTGAAACGTACGGCCTCAGCCAATGTAGAACCAAACACCTGGTGTGCTGGTCCATGGTACCCACTGCCCGAGGGAGCTGTGGTTGAGAAGCCATCACCAACGGAAGGAATGGAATCTTGCCCGTCTGAATTGGATCGCGTCTTTGACCCGAACCCGAAAAAGCTTCGCTTCCGTACCTTCTTCTCCTCACTAGTTGGAGCCGTCAAACCTGTCTTATTGCCCCAGGCCGCAAGGTCCGCAATGGGTTGAGGGTCTTTCGGTCCCGATATCAACTTGGGAGTCATCGAATCGCTATTGTTATAGTGATGCCCGAGATGGTCGCTAGAAGCACCAGATGTTTTAGGTCTACCACCCAACTGCGGGACGTCACCATGCTGCGTCGAATCGTATCGGACACCAACCAAAGTATCTGAGTCTTGAGTCTGATGGTGCGACCTTGGTGGCGGCATACTCTTCCTACTCCTAGCCGCATTAGATCTACTGGTCTGTGCTGGTTCCTCATCTTCATTTTCACGATAATCAGTCCACTGCAACAGAGCGTTTACCCAAAGATCTCTTTCCTTGTCGTTCTCTGCACATAAAACATGCTTGACATGGCTATTAAAATCTTTCTTCTTGGGCTCCAGAATTCGGAATGCATGGCGGTAATTATTGTCCATCTCGTCGCTGTTCGGGCCCCTGGGCGGGGAGTGGCTGTCGCCGCTCTGCGAATGTCTGACGATTTGTGCATTCTGCAGTCTGATCGTGCCGAGGTGAGCACCGCCCGGAGTTTCGTAGTATTTCAACAGGGGGCCATCAAGAAGGAAAAACCTTGATTTCCATCCACCAAAGTTTTTGCCTCGTTTGGTAAGATAGCCACTACGAATAGGGCGCCCGTCCGGACCGATCATATGCGAGCTTCCCTCTCGTGCCCCGCTTCCGGCTCCTAGTTCATCCACATTGGGAGGGAGAGCGTTTCTCGATAGATACTTGCAAAGCTCAAGTGCCGTGTTTGGATCCAAGGGAGTATTCAAGACTTCTTCCATGTAATGTTCCAGTGCTGCGCGTCTAGCGTCCACTTTCGCAGGAGCATGGCCAGAAAATAGAGACTTGTCCGGCGTCCTTGCGGTGAAAGCCGGGCATTGCTTAAGCCGTTGGTCCAATTTTGACAAAGACGCCGAGTCCTTCTCGAGTCGCCATAACTCACTGCGATCAGCACGTGAAATGACAGCCAAGGTAAACACGGGGTCTTCTTCAAGCTGTGTGAGCGAAATCAGACTTGCCCGCGAGGGCTTCATCCGAGATGAGGCAACACGGATTGCAATTGATGGTAAAGCGTTGGGGGCCAATAAAAGATCAGGGAACTCCTCAGTAATCAGGCCTTTGAAGATCTTTGTCCGTTCAGTTGGGGTTGTCACCGCCGTGGGGCTCGTGAGTCCTTCTTTCGGCGACATCAAGGACTGATCGATGGAAGCCACTGCCGGTGTTGCGAGCGGTGTATTCGGAGGCATAGGAATTGGTTGGCGGGGAGGTCTTGGTGACAAGGGCGCTGAAGGAAATCCCCCAGCATTTCTAGGAGAGAGTGGCGGAGAGTGTATGGGAGGTCTCACATTCACAGGTCTGGGGCTGAGTGGCAGCCCAGAGCTCATCGCTGGAGATCCTGGGTCGCTATACTCATCGGCTTGAAGGACTTCGGCAAGCGACATTGAGCCAGTATGTGGGCGCTGTCCCGGAGCCTGACGGGGGCTAGGAGGGACGGCTTCGGCAGGTGAGTCGGGTTTGCTGGATGAGCTCTTCTTAGAAGCACTCCTTGCTTCGGCCTCCTTTTGGACTCTGAGCCCTCTGTCCAGCTCATCCTCTGCCCGAGTTCGCCTTCGGCCACGATCGTCGCTTCCACTTCCCAGGTCTGCAGATTCTAGAATCTCATCCAGATCCGAATCCGTCTCTTCCTCTGGTACCAGCTCTTTAGTAGGCGAGTTCAGCTGGAGTGGAGCAGGAGGTGCCTTTCGTGGTGGCGCTGGAAAGCCGGCTACTCCTCCTTCCGATCGAACTCTTGCTTCGATCATCATAGCAGTAGGAGATCCGAGCTTCGTTGATGGGCCTTTGGGAGGGTCCGGAGGCAGGGCACGGGTAGGTGGCTGCGAGGCATTGAACTGTAAATCCTTGAGGGAGTCCTCCTTCTTTAATCGCGGTACTTGATCTGACTTTTCTTCTGTATCTCGGTCAACCCTGCCCGGTGCCCGATCCCTAACCTTGGGCAGAATTCGAGAGGGGTCCTGGAGTCGAGGCGTGTCTGGAGGTGGTGGCATGGCCGCTTGGTCTGGGAGAGACGCGGGTGTGATGGGCGTGACCGGGTAGGGAGGGATCATCGCATCGATGGGGGAGAAGGTTTGGCTAGGTGAGTCCAGGGACGACGCCTCAGAGAATCCCACTGAGGACTGGTTGACATCGATCCGGGGAACATTGGGCCGAGAGGGGGTCTGTAAATCGTTCGAACTCGTCGGGCTCAACGCGGCGTTGGCTAGTAGATCCCTCAATTTCAACCTGTACTTTTCCTTTTCCTTCAGCGCCCGCTCGAGGTCCTTGTTGAGGCCCAGAATCATGGCCCGTTGCTTGTCTACCAAACGCCATAGCTGGGTGTTCTGTTGCGACTGCGCCTGTCTCTCCTTGAGAAGGGTTTGAATGACTGCCTCTGGGCTGCCTGCCTTATTCACCAGATTCGAGACATCGGCCGCTCCGTACCCGGAGTCTTGCGAGCCATGTTGCTGGGCAGGCCTGTCGGACGAGAGAGCGGATATCGCAGAGTCGATGGAGGAAGTTCGAGGTAGCCCAGCAGATTGTGAAATTTCTTGGGCAGCACCCACCGGACCCGACATGGCTGGCTTTGGTGACTTTTGAGAGTCACTGGCAAGCCTGGGAGCTAGGGGATCGGAAACGATGCGGGAATCATCAGGAGCGGTAGGCGAGGAGCACCTGGAGCCAAACCTTGGGTTAGCGAAATTGGAGGCAGCTGGAGATGCTGTTCAAGGTAAAACACGAACCGTCTGGAATTCTGCGGCTCTGGGCTTGGATCCCTCGACGAGTCGCTGTAAAATGTCGTATGCTCCTCTGGTCCAGAACCAGAATTAGACTGGGTATTGTCGAAATGTCGCGGGCCAAGATTGCTCGTGTTCGAGTGTGGTGGGAGGAAGGAATCTTGACGAGGGCTCGGGCTTGGCGAGGATCTGACAGTCCAGCTTCTGGCCGACAGAGGACTTGGGATAGGCGGTCTTTGTGTCCTGAGGGATGCACGATGCGCGCGTCAGTCGACTTGAATGTGTGCAACGGCAAAAAGGGTAGCTGTTTCACGGCAGAAGCGCCGACAGGAGGGACCGGGGTATGGGTAGTATGTATATTAGAAGGTGGGACAGTTGGGTAAGTTCGGGCGGGTTTTACACAGCGTCAGCCGTTGAAGGGCAGTGGGAGAAGAATGCAAGCTGATTGGTATAATAAGCAGCGTCGTGGGTCGAGGAGCATGGCAGGGTGATGAAGGCAGGTGTTTGCTGCATCTAGGTACGGGATGGGGTCTGTCGGGTGCGAGCACGGTAGTGCTCCGGAGCGGCAGGAATGCTCACAGGCCAGAGACAGGGTGCTCCCCTTTGCAAGTCTCACTGGAACAAGCGACACGGGACGGGAAGCGCAGAAGGGGGTGAGGGGATTGGCCAGAGACAAGGCTGCTGTTTCTTACCTGGTACTGTAGGCCGGTGATGCTACAGACAAAGGCACAGGGACATGGACCCGGCGCCCGACAGTGGGACTATCGTCGAGTTTGTTGAAGCCAGAGCCATCGTCAGCGACAGACGAGGCTGGGGGATCGTGATGGGCGAGCCTCGACATGGTCCGGTGCTCTCGTGATGTCCCAGTCGGGGAAGGTGGGCAAGGAGCCAGGGCCTTGCCTTGACCGACCAGTACCTGTCAACTGTCCAATTGCCCAAACGGATGACGGGTTATGCAGCTCTCGCCGCTGAGGCTCCGCGGTACATGGACGAGTGCGTTTGTACAGTCGTACTGGGATGGGCAATGTAAGGGGGAGTAATGAAAAGGGTGGGGGGTGGGAGCGCAAATGGAAATCTTGCCGCCGCCGCTTAAAGTGAATGGGGTGGCTTGAACATTGAAGGGGGGAGGAGAGAGGAGAGAACCCTGGCAAACCGTTCCTAGCCTGCCTCGGATTTGCTTTGTTCTCTATCAAACCCCTTTTCTCGGACGACAGAGGAATTCGCTACTACATGAATCGCCTATTCTAGTCTATGCATTCCCCTTTTGACGAGGACGGCACATGCATGCTGCAGGCGACTCCTACCTTAGTATTGAAGATCACAGGACTTGGCGAAGACGAAACAAGCTATGGAGGGGAGCTGGCCCCTTGGAGCCTGTGCCCCATCATGGATGAGCAGTCTGATGGCAACTCGCAGATTCCTCCCTACAGTTAGAATGCACTGCTATTGCCTCCAGAGTAGCAATCAAAACGCTTGCAGGGATTTTGTATGGTCCCACGACGGCTTTTTATCCCAACCCGCGCGCTTCCTCTCCATACAGACTGGGAGTTATTATGCGGTTAACAGCGTGCATATAGGGAGGACCGGAGGTACATCAGGCTGGGCCAAGATAGTAGTAGTGTGGTCGTACCTGGGCAGGATCACGAAATAACACTACCTAAGGCTGTGGTAGCGTCCATTACGCTATATTCTTAGGCGACCTTAGATCACAGGCCTCCAGACATTAGATGGTTTCAAGGGCTGACAAGTTCAGTGACGAACCCCTCGTCGATCAGCCAGTTCGCTGCGCGCTCCAATCCGGCTCAGCAAACTTGGGCAGCGAAATAAGGACATCCACCGTGCTCTGCTGATCCTATGTATCTCCAGCAACCCTGAGCTTCACCACATCCTGCCGTCCCGCAAGGACCGAAGTACGCGGTGGATAATGTGCTTGTGTGCCTGCATGGCACTTAAGCCCCCGGCCCATAACCCACTGTTATTACAGTGGGTTGCAGTTCGCTCAGAGGTGTCATGCACACTGATTAGCTTCCCCCTACAGCCAATCAGCTCCTCTCTGCAACAGAGAAAAGGGTCGCTAGAATTGCAACTTCATTTTAATTAACCGCCACTCTGTCGGCATTGATACAAACCAAAATCCAAGGTATTCAACAGCAAAACCTCCAGCTAGCTCAATGTCTCGAATCACCGTCTCCGGGGTCCCCTCAGAGTCCCCTGAATGGGTGCAGGAAAGGCCACAGCCAAGGTGGCATCAGACCAGGGAGGCGTCAAACTTTACCATGGTCAATGGAAACTTGGTTAGGGGGCAACCTGAGCATTGATCCCCAGGAGATCTGAGCTGCGAGAGTCCCTCGAACCCACCGTTGCACTGCTGCAGCTTTTAATTTGATCGGGGCCGGCCCAGGGGCCCCAGTCAGACAATGCTGGAATGGTGCCGTTCAGGGTCCCATCCGACACTGCCAAACCAAGAAAATCTTGGAGCCATGCCGGCTTCTCCCATGCACGAACCTGGCTTGGTCATCGCGTTTTCGTATCTACCCTAAGGGCCCAAGCACTGACTCGGTTGCGCGCTCTCCCAAAATCTGATGGCAAACCCTCCGCTTCGGCAAATTCCTCTCTGAATTATACTGATCGCCGCAGGTGCCCCGGATTTTATTAATTGACCTGTCCTCGAGAGACCCGGCCGTTCAGGGTTCACCCGAGAAGGGTAGCGATGTGACGTCTGCGTGGTGTTGATGATATGATACGCTTCCCCGCGATGGTAGCAGTTTTGCTGGTACTGCAGAATCGCCACTGCAGTCCACGAGGAAATTATGCTCCGAGCTGCAAGATGGCTTGACCAGTGCAGGGTTTCCCGGTTCACCACCAATCACGAAGACTAGAAGCTCCATTCTCCCATCGAGCCCTCCATCAATGTCCCCTATCTCCCAGGATTTCACACTTGACAGCTGTGCGCACGTCCGGCATTACTCGCCCCACAGCGAGACACCACGTATCTGTGCCCAGTTTCTTCCTTCTACTTCTGTAGGTGATGTGCAGCCGTGTGATGCTACCTACTCGCAAAGAAACTTGGATTGAAACAAAGATTTCTCGGGCAAACGGGTCCAATTCAGGAGAAAACTTGCTTCCCGCGAGTTGATAGGCCCTATCGTACACTAGGTGACCTTCCTGCATGCATGTACTGCCTGTTGCCATGCCTGCATGTATTTACATGAGCAGTCAAGTCACAGTTGCCAACTGTCAGCTTGTATTATGACTAGTCGCGGCAATAACACATCAAACACATGGCACTAGCTCCATAGTGATAGTCACATAATGCAAGGAAAATTTCGGTCAAAGGGGAGATTGGTCGAGCGACTACTTTCCCGCCGGTTCGAAGACGAAGAGCACGTGCCTTCTCGTAGATAGGTATGTTGCTAGATGCCGCAGACACGCGCCGTTGCATTCACGCCCAAAAAGTTGGATACTCAACCCAGTCTGCCAACTAACAACTGTGCCAAACCTACCTTAGGAAGAAATAGTTGCTAGTAATAGATTATTATCATTTGCTTTTCTTTAGACTAATGCAGGACTATATAAACCAAGCATTGGTTGTGATATTTGTGATACGCTCTAAAATGCCACAGAAGCCACTTATCAACCTCCATGATCCCTGATAGCTCTGTGAACTAAGTTTTTCAGAGCAGGTAGTAGGAATTTTCACACACAAGTCGCTTTCTAACTAAGACCTATTCAACAGACAACGTTGCATTCGTGACATTTTCCCTTTTGGCTGTCTCTTAGCTTCTCAGGATTTATCACTGTTTCGTTTGTAAGTAAGTGTACGGCCCCTCCGGACTCGGTCGGCCCATCACGACGGCACCCGGACCTGGTTCGTTCCAAGCCAAGGGTGGCCTTCGGCTGGCCACGGCGATGGCAGTTCTCGTCTTTAGAATAGCGTGATTCAGAATGTCTGTTCTATAGCCTGTATGCTCATGTTTCATGCCACATGCTCGAACGGCTGCCATATGTATCATTGGGTCTTTCCATCTGAGCAGGTGGTCGCTCGCTTGCGCCTCGGGGATTGGCGGCATTGATTGCGCTGGCCGGCACCGTGCTTCCACGGCAGTTCCAGAAAGCCAAGAACCGCCTCGTCTCCCAATCATAGATGGGTTGGATGGATCCGAGGCCATCTACTGCCTAATCAGAGCACGCAAGCAAGATTTGGCAATGGCATCAGCGCCCAACTGGGAAGACCTGCTCAGCCCTGCACAACATTCATGCAGAACTCCGTCATGTGGCTGGGCCGGTGACTTAGGTAAGCAGAGGTGCCTGAACAACAGTGAAGTTTCGGGGCTTTTTGGGACTCCTCTGGCCAGTAACAGCTGTCGGGAGACCCATCGGCCACCCACTCACCAACGGCCCCGCAATTGACCCAAATCTTGGTCATTCGGCGTTGGGTGCAAACGTCATATGGCAGTGCAAAAGCCCAGGCAAATCAATGCGCCATCCTCAGCTGTCTGCCGTCTCTATTCCCTCATCTCCTCACATTTGTTTCCTTCTTCATCGTGCCCAACAACCCAATAGACCGGCATCGCCTGCGTCATTTTGTGATTTCAGCGTATAATAACCATAAGGCATAGCTGCCTTTCACCTCAGCCCCTCCTGCTAGGTATATCACCAAACACACAGTCGAACGAGACACAGGCCGCCGCCATCCTACAAAGCACGCCTGCCCATCTATCCCCGATACACAGACCTATCACGCCTTCGCCATGCGTTAGTATCCCTGTATCACACATCCTTTCTCTCTCATTTGCTAACTCCAATCCACTCGTAGCTACCAACTATGCAACCAAGAAGCGACTCTATCTCTCCCACCCGGAGCCTGACGTCGCAGTCGTCCGCAAGAGCGTCACCCGTTTCATACCCCCCGAGAGGAAACCATCTCCCCCTCCCAGGATCGTGAGGCCAGCTCCTCTACCACCACCGCCGCCGCCAGTCCAGATGCCCGCCCCGCTTCCACCGCCACCTCCCCCGGTGGTAGCTCCCCCGGTGGTAGTCCTCCCACCGCCGCCGCCACCGCCTCCTCCGCCTCCTCCTCCCCAGCCAAAGCCTGAGAAGATCGAAATCGATGTCATCTCCGTCGACGTGGATCCTCCCACGCCGAGGAGGAAGAGAAGCCGCTCCCGGAGCAAGCGCAGGTCCCCGCGAGAGTCCCGGGAGCTCGAGAGGGTCATCGAGAGAGACCACTTCATCCCCGTGCCGTACCCCGTCGAGGTCGAGCCCCAGTATGACACCTTCCGCTACGTAGAAGGGCCAAGACGGTACGAGCCTTCCCCATCGCCGCCACCGCCGCCCAGGAGGGCGATAGAGGAAGACACGCGGATCAGGATCTCGGACCGCGAAAGGTTCCGTGAGCGCCGTGAGCGCTGGTAGCGGATGCGCCCACTGCAAGAGGACGGCTGCTCCTCGTTATTAATGATGATGATTTGCTATGAATGGTTTCGGTGTTTTCTGGTTATAATTTTGTCGGTTTTGTTGCTACGTGCATATTTGTGTTTCTGAACATGTTTCTTTGGGTTAAATGGTCACTGTATTTTGTATAAACGTGGAAAGAAGATCATATGAAAGAAAGCATGCACCACAGTCTCTGAGCGTACAATCATTGATTGAAAGTCTATGGCGTACTTAAGAGTAAAAGCGTTTAAAGCGTTTAAAGCGTTCTGTATTAGCTGTATACGACATCAGAAGTCAATCATTTGAGTCTTCCATCTTGGAGATAGTGCTTGTCTTGTACAACTGTTTCTAACAGGATGCAATTTCGTCCAAGTATCAAATAGAGAAAAAAAAAACCAGAACCAT